ATAATATTCTCTTTGTTAATATTACTACCCTCTGATGCTTATTAAATTAGTACTAATATTATTTCTAAGAAGTGGACAAAACAAAACAAAACTAAGGTATGATTCAAGAAACAAATAGTAAAGTAAATATATATATATATATATATATATATATAACAAGAGTTTCTAGAATACCAGGTATAAGTTTGATTTAGACTAAGGATCAGCAACCCTGGACAAAGAAATACTCAAAAAATTCATATAAATCTGTTATAGATTAGTTCAACACAAATAAGAATGTTAGATGTGAAACTTGGAAAAAACTCTTAAAAGTTGCAGTAGTAAGAAAAATAACATCATTTTTTAGAGTTGGAAACTAATAACAAGCTAAAGCCATGATTTTACATATTACTAACAGATATGGACCCATCAGTTTTAAACTATTTATCCACCAAATTGCTTGTGGGTCCATGGACTTATTGGTTTCACACAAAATGTAAACAAAAATGGTATCAACATTTTAATTATTTCTGCTAATTACTGCTGGGTTTCTATCACCTATGTGTTTTTTTTAAAAAATTAGTGATTTCACCCAATATATTGGTCAGTTCTTTACACCAGCTAAATGTCATAACAGTCAAAACCATACAATTACTCAATATGAAGCATGTGTGGGCCCCACCAATTCTGAATGGTATGAAATATATGGGTAGTTTTAGGGTGAACATGATCAAAAGTATGGACACCATGGGCAAAAAGATAAAACATTCAAAGCACATGAAATAAATAGTAATATCTTGTAACTTTACCTTTGAGACAAACTTTCCTTCTCTTCAGTGTAAGAAAAGTAACATTAGGGTAACCTTCTGTAGTAACATTAATCTGAATTCTTACATCCACTTCCTCACTTTTTTCACCTGTGCATGGCAGTGAAACTTGAAAACCTGAAAAATATGAATTTAATTTTCAAACAGTTTGAATATCTTTATTTGTTTAGTTTTCAATAATTCTCTATAGACTAATAAAATGTAATCGACTTGTAATATTTATCTTTCACTTTATCTCAATTTTTTAAAATTATAAGTTATACTTTCGATAGGGCAGTTATGAGTATAGTATGATATGATATATTTAAAATGCAACTAGCCAACTACCTCACATATAAGGCAAAACAAATACAAAGTCATCAACACAACATTACAAAAAACTTCATGATTTTATATAACACGATTGTAACTAGGGTTTTCATCATGGAGCCATTATTTTTAATTAAACACGTTATAAATTATTACGGTATAACATATCTAGTTGTCAACTTTGCATTTGCAAAACATCGTTGTATAACATTTACAATGAAAATGAAACTGATTTAAGGCAGTGAATGAGTGGTAGTTTATAAAATACCTGTTTCATGCTTTTAAGTTTTGCCAATCACATGTGCTTGCACATACTGCAACAATCTAATACTGCTGTTGAAAGTAATTCAGTAGTTTTTAATAAAACACTTAGTTTTATTAGCTTTTAAAGAAATACTAGTAAACAGTTAAAACAAACTAGGCTTACTAAACTGAAATTCAGTGGAAGTAGAATAAAACACACAACCTATCCTTCACAGGTCTATAAAACTTCAAAATGTTGAATATGATGATGAAATTCAGATTATACTTACAGGTTTACTTTTCATAACAATAACAATAAATTTGATTTCAAACCGGGGACTGTACGTGACTTACTGGTTCACATGCTATGTTGTGGGTTAGAAAGTCTAAGGTTCGAGCTGCAATGTGCTACTAAAAGTACACACACTGCACTTTCATGTGAGGGGGGCATTACAACGCCATGTAGGCAATAGTTTGTTTCTTTATTATTTAACTTTAAGCATAAAGCTACACAATGGGCTATCTGCCTTTGTCCACCACGGGTATCGAACCCGGTTTATAGCGTTGTAAATCCGCAGACATGTCACTGCGGGTTGGGCTTTGGCAATGGGCGGTATTAACTGCTTGCTTTCCTATTGGCGCGTAGTTCTGAATTACACATGATTATGTTTGAAACCGTGATCTGCCCGTCTAGCACGTGGACCGAATAAAAAACGAGAAACAAAATGCTGTGACTGAAAATAATAATTCATAAGCCTGATCAAAAGAAATAAATGAGATATAATTGTTATTGACAGTTACTGTTGTTTTTAACAAAGTCCGCCGGTGGGTCAGTAAAAAACTTGGAAGCTTATATAATGCTAAAATTTGGAGTTCGATCCCTGTGGCTGTACATATATTATGCAGCCATGCCTTAAAATAACATCCTGCTATACATGAATTCAAAACGTTGTTTGCAATAAAAATTGAGAAATATAAGTGTAAAATATAATCATATTTCAGTATAATTTAGTAGACTTAAAATAAGACCCAAAACTCGTGCGCTTTCGAATAGTTGACTATTATTCTTCAGGAGAACAAAGGGTGAGGTAACCCACCATTGGTAAAATCGGGTCCGTGGTCCATGAGTGGAATATCAATTTTGATAAAGGAGTTAGCATAGAGGATCACATATAAAGTGTAATAGACTTAAAATAAGACCCAAAACTCGTGCGCTTTCGAATAGTTGACTATTATTTTTCAGGAGAAGAAAGGGTGAGGTAACCTACCATTGGTAAAATCGGGTCCGTGGTCCATGAGTGGAATATCAATTTTGATAAAAGAATTAGCATAGAGGATCACATATAAAGTGTAATAGACTTAAAATAAAACCCAAAACTCGAGCGCTTTCGAATAGTTGACTATTCTTTTTCAGGAGAACAGTACAATTTAATTATTCCTACGAACCTTTCAAAAGCTGTATACTCCTTAGCCTAAAAGCAACGTTGAAAATAAATCATTGACCCAAGCTTTTCTCAATAAGATTATTAGATGTTATTGACAAGCTGTTTTTCTTCTGATCTATCAGTCCAAAATCATGGAAGCATTGAGTGGAATTCGGAAATAAACAAATTATCTGAAGTTTTTAAAAACAGCCAGCCTACTCCAAAATTACTTTTTTGAAGTAAAATCGATCTTAGAGGATAAATTATTGTTTTAAAAGTAGTTTATGATCAAAAATGTAAAATCGTGAACTGTAGTCAAATAATGTAAAACTGTCTGCCGACAAAATAATATAGTGGGATGTGTGCTACAAATACAGGTGGTGAAGTAGATAATGGGCACGTCTATAATAACTCCAATCGGATTCGAATATGATTTAAAGAAAGAGCATACCGAAGTTGAGAACAGTATAATAATATACTGTTAGGTATCTGCTTATTTCTTTGTTTCTGGTAGGAATTATTTCCGAGGATCTTCAGCGATACAAGTCCTTTCCTGATTAAACCAGTTTATTCTTCCTCGATACAAACTTTTTGTACACAGTAGTTGTGGAATCAGTACTTTTCTCGTCCCTTTAAACTTAACAACTTTTATAATACACACTATAAATCACAGCGATTCGCAATCTATATCTCCACTGGCTTTTTCTGGCAGGCTAATATACTAACGAAGAGGCCAACTCGAACACACTCGTACCTCCCTGATCATTCGAAAAAATCACGCACATCACGTATCTGAAACGTTCGTGAAGGCTCGAGTGTTCTCCAGACACCCTCTATTTCGTATATATATATATAAGACCGTCGAGAAATGACGGCATAGAAATAGATAATTGCAGACAGATAGAAACGGACAATTGAATCAAGCGCGGTAGTAAGTAAAGTGCGTGAATCGTTTGTTGTGAATTATACAGTGTGTTTAAGTAAAAGTGACTGTGGAAATTTAGTTTATTGCAAAGTTGAATTGAGAAAAAAACTAGTTTTATTTAAGAAAAGACTTGCATCGCTGAAGTTTCTCGGAAAGAAATTATACGGGAAATTAACAAACGACCAGAGATCTAACAAATTGGTGTCAGAGAGTGGGACTGAAGAAAAAGAAAAGAAAAAGAAGATGGAAACGATAAGTGGCAAATCAAACTACAGCTTAGTAGATTTGATGGCAACGATACAAGAAACAAGAAGAACGAGAAAAGAAACAAGAACAACAAGTAAAGAAACAAGAAGAGAGATTACAGCAGTGGCAAGAAAACCTGCAACAATGGCAGCTCGAACAGCAAAATAAACAAGAGAGATTACAGCAGTTGTTGGAGGAAAAAGAAAACAAACAAGAAGAGAAATGACCGCAGTTGTTGGAGGAAAAAGAAAAGAAACAAAAAGTACGAGAAAAGAAACAAGAAGAAAGACGACAGCAGTGGCAACTGGAACAAGAAAGGAAACAGGAAGAAAGTCTCCAACAGCTGCAGGAAAGTCAGCAGCAACTACAGGAAAGTCAACAACAGTGGCAAGAAGTACAAATGGAAAACATTAGCAAATTTCAAAGTGAATTAAATACATTAAAGGATGATTCACAGTCTTTTACACAAGGAGGATATATTAGCCATCGACATAATCAGCCTCAGACATTAACGGCTTCACTGTCTTCCCTCTCAAAACTTGGTAGAGTTTCTTCTTCAACAGTGGCTTTTTCAGGTGACACGTCTTCAGCAGCGTCATTTGTTCTGTTGTTCATTTCGTGATAACGCCAAAGCCTGTTGGCAT